GTAGCTTTTTGGTCTGATAAGGTCAGTGAAATCCCCTCAGGATTTATCCTGAGATCCTGTACCTCAGATTGTAGAACCTTTGTCAGTGTCAGCCAAAACATGGCTATTTCTAAATCACAGCTGTCTACTACAATGTTAAAATCACACTGTGCCACCTAACAAGATGAATACCCTGCACACAGCATTGCTGAAGCTTTCTTCTGTGGTACATCAATTACTGGTCTTGTTGAAAAGCATGATTTCACTTTGCTGAAAGTCCTTATGGAAGGCATTCCAAATGATACTGACAATCATAACCACCTTCAAAACACTGGCACTCCAGCACCTTGTAATGCTTCCTGCACATAGATATTGCTTACCATTTCAGTGACATGACACAGAAACCAATGAACCCTAAGTTATTTTAGATGAAATTTACACTAAATAATTAGCTTATGAGTAGTGAATCGTGTTCTGCCCATTTGTCTGCACTAGGCTTGGAGAAGGTTTGATGAGAATATTGGTTTTTCCGTTTTCAGGGCATTCTTCAAGCTTCCTTTGAATGTTCCAGCCTCGTGGAACACTCAGGCCTTGGGTGAGCATCAGGGCACAGCGGTGAGAGGGGAGGCGCAGGAACCCAGGGCAGAAGCAGGAGGGGCATGGCCACCAACTTACTTTGTCTTTCCTAGCATCTCCCTTTTGACATATTTTCACTGCCAAATCCTCAGAGCCAAGCTGCACATGGTTTTGCTTAAATAACATCTCATTACCCTTATTAACAAAGACATACAGCACAGTCAGGCAGCTCAGCTAGGCTGACTTGAATCACTGAACTGTATAGAAAACTCAATCCTGCAAGATGCCTACTTTTTTTCTTATCAAAAGTTGTACTTGGGTTTATTATGGAGAAAAATGGAGATGGTTTGAAAACACACCAAGGAAGAAATAATAGCCGTGACACAAACATCCATACTTCTCAACAAAAGGAGTAGTGTCACCAGCCATAAAGACTCTGCAATATGTTTGGAATTGACCAAATAAAATTGGAAGAAAGGAAAAAGATGTTCTGACACACTGCACATAGCTCAATGCAAAGTACTACAACGAGGCAATATGATCATCACCATTAAGACCAAGACAAATTTTAACAGTGAGTAGTTTCAATTCTGGCAAAGCAGAAGTTGGTTTAGAAGTCAGCGGTAGCCACACGGTTACCTGGAGTCCTACCTCGTCGCTGCTCCACCGGTTGGGGAATGAGGGCCGCAACTTCTTGATGCACACAATCTCCCGCATGTCCTCATAGGAGGGATCGCTGGGCACCAGCTCATGGTAGGGAAGCTGGTATTCTTCCACAATCCCTGGAAAAATGTTATTGGTATTATTATTTTATGTGAAGTTGGGGGGAAAGCCAAACTCAAAAACTGCTGTCAAAGGAAACCACTAGAAAATTTAAAGTTAAACTCAGAACAACAAAGTAAATTTTTAACACATGTACCCAATGGAGCTTAACCTAATTTAGAAAAAGAGAATTAAAAAGTTAATGCAAAATATTATCAATATTATCATAGGTCTCTGTTGTGACCTTTTCTCTTTTCTCATTATTTGGACAAATAACCAACATCCAAAATGAAGTAAGGAAAAGTTTATTTAGCTCAGTCAGTGGAGGTTTCAGTCCTTACTCAGTTGGCTCCAAGTCAGAGTGGCAGACGGTAGAGAGTAATCTTTCATGGCAGAGGCAAAGAACAACAGCAAAGGGACTGGCAGCAGCTCCGGGAGCTAGCTAGCCTCTCTCCCCTCCTTACATTGTAATGCAGAGTACCTGCTCCAGGGTATAATTCCAACATCGGATCAAAAATCTATCACAGAATTCAGCTGTGAATCCATCAGGACCTGGACTTTTCTTTTTCGGCAGGTTTTTTATTACATTTTGTATTTTGTTGGCTATTATTGGATTATTGAGAGTTCTTATATCTTCTTGATTCAGTTTTGATAATTTGTACCTTTCCAGGAATCTGTCTATTTCTTCCATGTCTTCTATTCTGTAAAAGTAAAGATTCTCAAAGTAGCTGTTATGGTTTCTGTCTAGGTGTCCCCCCAAAGCCTCATGCAGTCTTGGGGTGGCTTCTGGAGTTTGTGATTGATTACTGTGGGTGTGGTTGCTGCACCTGCCCTGGGGCAGGTAATCTGCATTACAATGTAAGGTGGGAAGAGAAGCTAGCTGCTTGAGTTGCTGTTACCCAGCCCTTGTGCTCTTGCTCTTTGCTGCGGCCATGAAAGGTTGCTTTCTGTTATGTGCTGCTCTGCATTGGACCCAGCTGAGTATGGACTGAAACCTCCAGTAACTGTGAGCTAAATAAACCTTTCCTTCCTTCATTCTGAGTGTCGGGTATTTGTCCCAGCAACGAGAGAAGAGTAACTAAGACAGTAGCTATTGATGATCTCTTGAATTTCCACTGGGTCTGTGGTAATTACATGCTTTTCATTCCTTATTGCTTGTATTTAAATTTTTCTTTCCTTTTTTTGATGAGGTTGGCTAGGGGCTTATCAATTTTATTTAATCTTTGAAAGAACCAGCTTTTTGATTTGTTAATTCTTTGAATTCTTTTCTTAGTCTCAATTGAATTAATTTCTGCTCTAATCTTTATGATTTCTTCCTGTCTTTGGGCTTTGGATTTGGTTTGCTCTTCCTTTTCTAGATGGTGGAGGTGCAGCCTTAGGGTCTTTATTGGTTCCTGTTGTTTTCCTAATGTGTGAGTTCACAGCTATAAATTTCCCTCTAAGAACTGCTTTCATCACATCCAATAAACTCTGATAAGTTGTGGTTGAATTTTCATTGAATTGCAGATATTGTTCAATTTCTTGTTTCATTTCATCTGTGACCCACTAGTTGCTGAGGAGGGTGTGGTTTAATTTCCATGTATTTATGGTTTTTTTTTCTGGTTTGTTTTGTTGTTTATTTCCAGTTCCATTGCACTGTGGTCAGATAATATGCATGGGATAATTTCTGTTTTCTTGGATATACTTAAGCATGACCTATGGACTAGTATGGTCATGACTCATCCACATGGCTGACACTCACAAAGGAGCTACAAACTGTGGTACAAGGTTTCAGGGTAAATCCTGAGAGGACTTGACTGACCTTGTTAGATACAGAAATTACATTTCTTGTTATACAGGTCTTGCTTTATCTTGGTCTTAACCATCCAGCAAAAATGTATAAAAATGAGGTAAAAAAGTAAAGCTATATTAATATGCTGAGCTATAAAAGGCTCAAGTTAACAACTTCTGACATTGCCAGTCCTAAGGATAACCCACCACTATAATGGACTACTGGACTATATTGGATTATTTTGCTGAACTCACGCACCTACAATATTTAAATGGCAATGGAATACCCATCTCTGACAAAACTAAACAAAAAAAGAGGATATAAATGAAGGACCATTTTGTATCTGTATGTACAAAATACTTAGGATAGATATACAGCTACTTTCTCTGAATTCAACGTGAAGAAAGATTTGTACTAATAGTGTTTGGACAGGATATCATGTCTGCATCTTGTACTATGAATAACTACTATGAAGACAACAATATGCAATATACTAATTATTGAAACTGTCCTACTAACCTGCTTTGAAACTGTCTCATTGCTATTTGTCTCAGTAAAATTAATAAAAAAAAATCCATAGCAAACTCCAGAAGCCACCTCATGAGTGAATGAGACATTGAGGGGATAACTAGACACAAACCATAACAGTCTCCAAGCCTTTCTTCTAATTTCTAAAATCTAAGTAAAACAAGAATCTCATTTGTTTCTAATTTTATAAAGATCAAAATTTAAAATAATCTATATTCAATCTCAGTGCAGATTTGGGAGATGACTCAGAATCCATACTGCACAACACGACTGCTCTATTTCTGTAGTATGCGACCATAAACATCATGACAAGTTTAGAAGTGGGACCTATTTGAACCAAATATCAGTTTACATTTTTTACAATATACGAATGATTTTGGAAAATTATATACACCCAAAATATTAACCATGATTTTCTCAGGTTTAAACATGATTTTTATTTTGTTCTCTAAATGTTTTGCATTACATTCCATTTTTTCTCGTAGTTAATTTCTATGTTTTCCTCCCGTACTTCACAGAGGCAGGTGACCTGTGCTTCTGAGGATCTCCTACCAATCACTCTGTCCTCCATGGAGGAGACAGCGTTGCTCTGAGTCGCTTTCCAGAGCACTCTTGGCTCCCATCTTCAATCAACTGTTACAGAAATGTTATTGCTTTTCACTCGAAAATGATGAGGCCATCAAGTTGGCAGTATACACCACATCAATAAATTCACTAGGGGGCTACTCTGGCAAAACCTGGGTTCTGTGTTGGGTCCGTTCTCATAGATTCAAACTCACGTAAAATCATAAATGACCAGAAGGTTCAAAAGTTTCTTAGACCATTCTACCTGATTATCTGCTCATCACTTGTTGTTCTACAGGGACTGCAGAGCACAATAGCATGTACAGTCTAAGTTTGCACTTACTTCTGTTGGGTCCCATTTTCATCTCAGCATGTGAAATAATAAAAGGTCAGGCCCTGACACACAGGAGCCCTCACTTTCTTTCAGTTCTTATTTTCTTTCCCACTCTCAAAAAGTGGAATATCTTGTGGGCTTGGATTACCTCTGTTTACTTCATCTCATATTCTCCTCAGGGGCTAATGGACTGATGGATGGATGGATAGTGAGGCAGGACATAAAGCACAACAGATAAAGGTACAGCCAACCACATAAAATTATGAATTAATCAACATTTGGCTTTGAATGATAGCCCTTTCTCATTGCTTTATCATATGGTAGAGCTTGTGTCTAGCTGTTCCCGCAAAACCTCATGCAGTTACAGGTGGGCTTTTCTGAGGTGGCTGGATCTAGAGCGTATCATGCTAGGATCAAGGGTGTGTGATGAATAAATCAGTCTACTGACTGGCTTGGCAGAGCTCTGGCTAGGATTAATGGTATGAGTGCTACACCTACCTGACCTGGGGCAGGCAGGCTGCGTCAACTATAAGAGACAGAAACAGGGCAAGTGGGGCAAACTCATAACCTTGCAGAGTTTAAACTGGCCATTTAGAGAAATGACAACAGCATCAAGGTTCTAATGAGCATAACCATGAATATAATTTTAATAACAATAAATACGAAGGTTATATTCTGTGCTCAATACAGAGAAGCTTAACTTCCAGCTTCTTGCCTAAAAGAAGTTGGAATCTTCTAGAAGACAGATTATGAAGGTTTTACTATCAAAATAGCATGAGTAGTAATATTTTGGGATTTTTAAGGATATCTTTGTATTGATTATAGTTTGCCTTACTGGGGAATTCTTATGCTTATAGAAAAATTATCATAAGTGATAAAAATATTCTGATGTCTTTATTTCCATTTGATAAAAACTGATGCTTTCAATGTGCTTTATGAGGAAGTTCTGCAGAGTAGTGAAGTAGAGGGGTAAGGAAGAAGGCTGTGCACCCCACATTTAGGGCTCTATGGCTGCCTCAGCAGAGGAACAGCTACAGGATACAACAAGGGTTGAAGATGGGCCAGCACTTAAGTAAGAAGAAGTCAGATGGGTAAGAAAAAGGTTGACTTTATGGAATAATTGTGGAAGGAAGAACTCAAAACAGAAATGCGATGACATACACCAGTAAAGGGAGATCCTGAAATGATGGGGAACTGACAGTGTGTCTGCAAGTCGTTCTTGAGCAATCGTGGAGGGAAGGAAGTCGCCAGAGATTATCGTAGTATGTCAAATACCATTTTCTAGAAGGCTTATAACTGCGTCAGCAAAAAAAAAAAAAAAAAAGAAAGTAAAAGACCTTGATTTTGCAGACAGTATAATACCTTTAACTGAGGACCACATAGGACTGGCAGTACCTCCCGCAGTCTCTTTTCAGTGACATCAGTTTCTTACCTCCGGAAACGCATCTCCTAGCAACCTCCCAAAGGATGAGGCCGAAGCTGTACATGTCAGCCATGATGTAGGACTGAAAGTGGTTTCGGTTCAAGCTCTCATCCAGCACTTCTGGAGGCATGTAGCGCTTGGTGCCAACCCGTGTGTTGGGCGGTATGTCAACCTCATTCGTGTCACTACAGAAAGAGCAAGCAGAGCACTGTCTATTCAAGAGGACAAATGATGACATGAAATGGTTCTTCAAACATCAGGGGCTTTAATGGAAAATGCGAAACAAAACAGAGAACAAAGACATTTCCTCAAAATGTAATTCACAATGGTCACAGGTGAGACTAACATGGAAAATTTCATCATACTACTGGATCAAATTTATACTCTATCATCCCCTTTATATTTTAAGAAATATTTTTTTTCAGTCCTGAGAAGTGAACCCAGGATCTCACATATGGTAAGCAATTGTTCTACCACTGTTATGCCCTAGACCAAAAAAGTATTTTTTAATCCAGGTGTTATAGGGCTTTTATATCTAGAAATAAGTAAAAAAAAGAAAAAGAGAACCAACACAAACTTCTAAATATTTTATTAAACAACAAAGCACATATAAAAAGTGCTTTCTATTGTCAGTAATGTTTCATGACATCATGATATTGAGTTTTTCTTTAAAGGAGAAGAAGGGGCCGGGGAGATGGCTCAGTGGAATAAGCGCTTCCATGGCAAGCGCAAGGGCCTGAGTTAAATCCCCAGTTCTGGAAAAAAAAAAAAAAAGGAGGAAAAGAACAATGCGATGTGGTGTTTCCGGCTTACTTCACAGGGTGAGTGACTTATTACTATTTTCCACAGACTGACAGGAGACAGGAGTGGGGGCTTCTGACTGCTGATAGCACGTGGAGCCCACCGCCTCACATGATGAGTTGGGGCCAGAATTCTGAGGCCAGGATTTGAAACTGCAGAGCTACCCAGCTGATGACTAAGGGAGACATGCAAAAGGCCTCTCCACACAGCATCAGGCACATGTCAGATGCTTAATAAGCACTGCAGACATCAGAAAGTAAAGGCACTAAGAAGAATGCAACCACCCTCAGGTGAGGTAGATGTGAAACTATCAAATGGAAAAATATGCAACCTCATTATTAAACTAAAGGTTATAGAAAATGGCTATACCTTTGTACCATATTCTATCACACTCTGTTGCCTCTCAACGATTCAGATTTGTGTATTAAACATCATGTGTATTATGCTAATCACAAATAATATCAAATTTTCAAAAACACAAGTAGGTTTTGAAAAAAAAAACCCTGAGTTTGATCTTATTTCCTCGTTCTCTACTAAAATATAAAACATGCAGTGTCGTTTGGGAAAACTCAAGATGTGGCAGATGACTGCAGATCTCAAGAGGCTTTACATTCTCTAAGACATAAAGATAAAACTTCAGTTTTAGAACCTTTTAGAATTCTTCTCCAGCTAGAATCCCTACCTACAACTATTTGGATAGACATATCATCAATGTATTAAATAAAAGCCAATGTATAAAAAAATCTAAACAGCAGTTGTTCCTCTCTATCTGCAAAGACAGGACTTAAGAGTCCTGGGTGTTTTTCCTAAGACCAGGAAAAGACGTAAAAACATTCATGTTCAGCACTGACCAGGAGACATGCATTACATCGTAGGTGGTAAAGAGGGCAGCACACTGAGGAGATGCTAATAAGAAACTAGGAGAAGAGCTGAAGAGGCGGTGCAAGGCTCCAGCTCAGCTGTAAGGTCTCTGTCCCTCCTCCCGGCTCCCTCCACTCAGCACACAGCAGGTACCTCATGACTGAGCACATGCTAACTGGTAATCTTTAGAGGAAGACAGGCAAGGAATGCTGGGCTCTAGACAGACAAAACGAACATGGATTTGCAAATGGAAAGAGCATATTTAAGGGCCTGAATTACATACCAGAACACTTATGGGGAAAAGAAACAAGGCTACTTAGAACAACAAAAGATACACTTTAGCCATCAGGGAGAAAGGTTTTGGCAATTCCATTCCTAATCTTACCTCATGGTTGTTATTTTGGCTTTTTTTATTTTTATTTTTTTGATTTGGGAATTCAGGAATTGATAACAGGTTCTGTGACATGGAGACATCCATGGAAAACTGAAAAGTTTCACTACCTAATGGCAGAATTAAGGTTTTTGAACCACTACAAAAGGGTCAGGGTTAGAGAACTCTTTTTCTCTATAATGATGGATTCTGAAGTTCCATAACGCAGAAAACCAGTTCCTTCCACAATCACACAAGCTTAGCATTGCAAGTCCATCCTTTTTTCTCTACCTGAGGTATTTTTCCCGGTAGCATTCGAATAATTTCTTCTCTGAGTATTTCGCATTTGAATATATATTTTCCTTATTAGTATTTGAATAAATATGTATCTGTCATCCTAGTTAATCCCTTGGAGCCTCAAGTATCTGTGACAATTGTTTGGTACATTCCCAAAGAGGACAGCTTAATGCATGTCCACTCAAGGTGTACCTTGAGGAAAATAATCTACTGTAAAAGAAGGAAAAGGCCTATTTACAGCAATCTTGCTGTTAAATATAGTGCCAAAGGCATTTGCCATTAAGTTAATAGACCTTTAGCAAAATTAATGTGTTTACCTGGTTTTTACATGTAAAACTCTTGTTATATGAAAGCCATAAAATGAGACACTATCAATATCTTGGAAGAGAAACAGAATTTTGTTGAGCAAATTAATTCTGCTAAAGATCTATTAACCTAATGGCAAATGCCTTTGGCACTACATTGAGTGGCAAGCACACTAACTGTAAGCAGTTTGTGTCTGACACCGGAATGCATCCATCTCTGAGACCTGCCGCTCCACCCCGCCTTCCTAGGTGCATCTCTGCACACAACGCTAACCCAGCTACACTTCGTCCTTAGGTGTCCATGGCACCATCCTACATGTGCCCAAATGCTGTAACACACACAGAGAGTCCACGTTCATTTTCAAGGCCCAAAACAGAAATGAAATTGACTTAACACTAGGGCATCAGTAATAAAGGAAGAAAAAGAGAAAGGTGAGTCAGTAGGAGCCATATATTTAAGAAAAAGGTGAAGTATTACAGAAGGAAAGGGTCAGAAGGAAAGAAGGAAACAGAAAAGGCTAGGGAGTCTTCAGCTGCTTCTGTCTTTTGCTCCAGGGCAGTGTGGACAGCTGAGAACAAGGCTAGCAGAAAAGACACATATGGAAAGGGGTTGGAGAGATGGAAAAATGACCCCAGACCTGTAGTAACTCTATAGTCAGATCCTGAAATCATATATGGAAAATAGAAACAGGATACTGGTTACTTCTGGAAGGGATAAAAGGGAATAAAATAGGAAAAGAAATGCAACAGAGCTATTTTCAATATTTTCTTTCTTTTAAAAAGACCAAAAAAAAAAGGGGGGGGAGGAATTGTTACCATGTGTTAATATTAAATATTACATAGCTGTCTTTTAAAAATACTTTTCTGTGTATCATAAATACAGATCATAAATCATGAATACATGTGCTGTGTGTGTGTGTGAAAAGAACCTAACAGAATCAGAAAGTACAAATGTACAGTGTAAGTATTAAGAGGGAGGGTATAGGCATAAGGTCCTAATGGCCCCAAAATCATCTACAAGCTGGACAAGTATACAGAATAGATGAGTATTGATGAAGGACAGCTGAGAGCATCCTGTCAGAAATGTGGGTGCTGCACGAGGCGCAGGGAAGAACAGGCCTTCCTCCTTTCCCACAAAGCAGGGCCACAGCCCTCTGCACAGGGCGCGCACACTGTCAGGAGGGCATTCCAGGAGTACCTCGCTTTACACAGCGATCCTTCTACCATCAGTGTTCCCGCTAGACCCAACAGGGCTTTTGTGCCTGTTAACATGATACCAATGAGACACAGATTTGGGTGGGCTTGGAAGAAAATAAAAATAATTTGAATAACACAAGGGGTGTCACATAAATTCTCTCCAGGATAAAGCTTCCTTCCTTGACTTTGTCTTAGAATCATATTTTCATCATAAAAATAAGGACCAGTAGGGCTTGAACAGAATGAAATTTAAAAAACTGTAGTTTCTTGAGAAGGACAAATCCCACAATAAAGTGAGGATGGAGATGTGAGGCCATGCAGGGAGATGAGTCCTCCTGTTGGCCCAAGATATTAAGACAGACAACAGTCAGGACCAAGACCTGGTACAGGAATATCAGGACTAAATTTTATGCAACATAATTCCCAGTTAACTCCCCCTTGGCTAGTAGTGGTCTGGCAAAAAAGAGCCAGCAACTACATTATGAGGGAAGTGTACAACATATGTGAGAAACACAGGAGTGGAGTGTCAGAGAGGAAATGAGCTTTTCTGTATGCCCACATGTGCGGTGAGTGATGCTCAACTCCCCAGAGCACTAGGCAAGAATGGGGATATTAATGGCTAATTGCATTTGAATCTCAAAACACAGGGCAGCCTTCAAGTCCCAATATTGTGAGAGGCACAGATATTAAGCTCCTATTTCTGACTAAACTCACTTGTTTATCAGTGGCAATAAAAATAAAAATCATGATGGAATAAGGGAGCTACGATGATGGCCAAAAAGCTTCCTCCAGTATCAGCCTCAAGTGGCCCTTCCAACCCAGGGTGGATAGAAAGGGAGCAAATTTTCATGCTTATGCTTGGAGTGCAAGAAGGGAACAAAGGAGAATACTCTGACACTGTGCAAGGCTATGACAGTGCAGAGCCAGAGCACAAAAAAGGGACGCAGAGGTCATCTTCCCATCTGCATGTGCCAGGTGGACACACTAAGGAGAGGATGACAGGAGTGTAGCCTTCCTGCAGGAGCAGTCCCTCCCTGACCTTTTCCAGGGCATCAACACAGTGAGAACAAGCTGAAGGTTAACATGTTTATTACCTCAACTGAACTCTGCCCTCATTGCCAATGAGGAAAATTATATAGTTCTGCTTATTGAAGTTCAATGCTGCTAAATCTCAAGAAATCACTGAGTTGTCAGAATAGAACTTTACAACTAACAGCTCTTTCATAGAAAGTGGATTTGGTTGCAGAATCTACCATTAATGAGCTTGGCTTTGTGACTTCGGCAAGTTGTCTAGTCTCGCCACTTTAAAGAAAAACAAAACAAACAAAAACAACTCACAGAATGGATAAAGCAAATATGGGTCTGGAAGTGTTGACACTGGAAGGGCTCAGGAAATTCAGTTCCCACTGCACTGTGCCCCCTTTCTTTTGCACTTGGACAATTTGACAATCACTAATCATCAGGTGGTGCAACAGTCTAGTCTTCACTGTATGTTTCCCTATTTAAAATTTAATACCAGAAAGACCCTGAGCAAGGATTTATTTTCCCCCTATTCTGACACAGAAGTACCAGAGGGCCTGCTTGATCTTCCAAAGTAAGAAGTGATAGGCTGCATAGGGGCCTTTAAGGCATTTCACACACCACTGTCTTCTCTTCCCAAGGGACAGGTGGGGTCGTGAGAGGTCTGCCAGGCACTGTCCAGCTTGAATCACAGTTGAGCAAGAAATGCATTGGCACAAAGAGTTCTGGGAGAAACCCAAGGCAGGGCAAAAACAGTTGCACAGACAGGAAATCTCTGAGGCACCATCTCTTGTTGTCTGTTTGTGCCTCTCTCTGCCTCTGAGTTTGCTTGGAAACCTCCCAGAAACTTAAAAGCCTAAGGGAACAGTTAACACTACGTAGATGCTCAGGAAAAGACAAAGTTCTCACAGCATTTTCACCTGTGAAGTCTGATAATTCAGCATTGTTTTCTATGAATCCATTTGGGATAAAACATACAATAAAGAGTGCATCTAATATGCACAATATGAAACAGGAAAAGAGTGAAAACTTAAAAAGAAATACAGCAACATTATTTAAAAGCTAGGCTAAAAACGGAAAGTACAAGTTTTAAAATACATGAAAGAAGAATATAGAATGGACCTTTGGCAACATCAAATGCAGCTTCTATTTAACGGAGCAGGAAACAGGCTGAAATGAATGTCTTCCAGCTGGTCTGCCGCTGCAGGGGTGCGTGCGGCCAGCCAACGTCTGAGCCGCCATTTCATCTCTTTCCTACCTTGATCAATGACCAATAGCACTAATTATCCCTTAAAACAAATGTCTTCCACTTCCTAGAATATGGGTCTACATACAATTTGAGAGACCAAATTTGAGAAATATAATTGATACTCTAAGATCTACAGAGAAGAGGAGTTTCCATTACTTTGCTCTTGCCTATATTTATTTAAAGTGATGCAGAAATACTTACAAGTGACTCACTATGTTGGGTCAAATGGGAAATATATTATTAAATCTGGCATGGATCCTGCTTTTAAGGACTAATATGAAAGGCAAGGCATGCATCAAAATAATTGTAATGCCAGGCAGACAATGGCCAGGAAATGACTGGAGCAGAGCAGGATCGAGCGCCATTATTCCTCACTGGGGAGGCTGAAGCTACTCAGACGCTTCTCAAATCGGATTAAGGCACCTGCAGAGGTAGGGATGGCCCAAGCTATAGCCTGTGTAATTGCAAGCAAGGCAGTAGCAAGCACACGGTACATAAGGAAATCACACAAGGCCAGTTTCACAAAAGAAGCAGAAACTGGAGGGTAGGTGGAATATAAAATGGGAAAGGTAAGCTTAGTCCTGAATGTATAGGTTCTCTGCAGCTAGGACACATTGCTTTTTCACCCTTAATTCTATATTCTGTATGGAATCATTCATTTATTCAATGTATAAAAATTTTAAGCAATGCTTTAGTAACAAGAAAGAAGATCGAGTGCAAATCTGAGAAATACATGTTATATACCTCCAAGGGGTTTAACTCTAGCGTAAAAGTGATAAATTTATCATCAATGATTTCCATGAAACACTGTAAGGGATGTCCTGATAATATGCAGAGGTTTTCCACTGGAGAGGAGGAGATCAACTAAAACTCAGACTTGCTAGAGAGCGAGATGTCTCTGAGGAGGAGACTGTAAACACCCAGTGGGAGTTCAGAGAAGGGCATATGAGTATGCAGGTAATGATAAAGCCTATCAAAAGCACTTGGGGGTGTGAGAAACACAAAGTGTTCAGAACACATGCAGCAAAGGTAAGTGGTGTGGGGGGCATGGGACTAACAAAGCACCAAAGAACAGACTACCCCAAGGGACTCCCGATACATTCTAACCCAAAGGCTTCAAGAAAATAAGCTCAGCAGCAACAGGTAGAAAAGACTGGAAAGCAGAAGTAACAGAATGATGGGTTACCTCAGAGTCCAAAAACACGGTTTGGGGAGGCCTGGCTAGCTACAAGTGGGGATGTCACTGAGGAGATGTAGTCACTTTGGAAAACCATGAATAGGGGAGCACAAAACCCATAACTAGAAAGATAAGCTGGAAACCTCATGGGGGAAAATGTGTGACACAGAGCACAGGAGCAGAACCAGTGGAGAGGAGGAGAAAACCTGGCCAGCGAAGGCACATCAGGAACAGAGGGAAAGGCCGGACATGAAGCCAAGTGCAGGCAGGAAGATGAGGCTGTGGAGACCACAATGGTGCCTCTCTCAACACAGCAGTAGAGGGGCAGAAACCAAGCACCAAGACACTGCAGGTGACCAGGCTGGAAGAACAAATGATTACTCTCCCAGGCTCCAAAGACATTTCATGGGGGTGGGGAAAAGGCTGGGAATCTGAGGAGCATGGTGATTTTTTTTGAGATATAGACTTGATGAGGAACTCAAAACAGAAAAGGAGTTTAATCAACTTTATTGGCAAGATGTTCATATTTCCAAACTTAAATCTGTAGAGGAAATCATTTCTTTTTTAAGATCAAGAACTTCAATTTACCATCTTCTAAATGGTGAAGACTTTCATATATTTGGGGTCCATTACTGAGTCACACCTCAGCCCTACCTGCAGGAGTACACTTGTCCATTCTGATACTAACCTGATAAACTTAACAGCCAGGCCCAGATCGGCAATACAGCAAGTTCCATTTTTCTTCACGAGGATGTTCTTGCTTTTCAGGTCTCGATGGGCAATAGCTGGTTTGCCTTGAGTACTAAAGATTTCAGTGTGTAAGTGGCACAGGCCACTGACAGAGGAGTAAGCTAATTTTAGCATTGATTTAGTGTCAAGGGTGGTGGACTTCAAATAATCATAAAGAGAACCATTTTCATGATAGTCTGTGATGAGGTACAGCTGGGTCCAGGACCCTGTCCCTTTGATATCTGCAGCAATGAACCCTAAAAGACAAAAGAGTTGGAGACATTTTTGAAAAACAATCAGGAATAATTCATATTTTTAAATATCATTCTTTGTTTATAGATGTCTCCTGTTCAGCATTTCACCTACTTTCCTGATTATGCCTACAACAGTGTTAAATTATGAATACCAACCAGAGATAATAAAAATTGTAGGGATACAGAAAGATTAAAAATTCATATCTGCAAATACAACCCTTTTCTGATCAGTGACTGATATATATATTCCTTTAGCGTATAATAGTTATAGGTAAGCACTGTTTATAAAACAGTACATAATAACTTCTACTTCTTGAATGATCCAGATAGATCATCTCTAGCCTGAGAAAATAACAAGCAAATCAACACAAAAATCTAGATATAAATATACCCTGTAGATAAATGCGTCTAACTATACAAAACATTTAAGCAAAAATATGCTCCTTCAAATCCTTAAGAAAGCCTTCAAAATTCTGGCATTACATCAGCAACTCCTGATTCTGAAGTGAACACATTTGAGAGCATCCCATGTCCAACCCACTGCCCACTCACAAAACTGCCCCGTTCGTCTTGCCTGTGCTGTGTCCCATTGGCAGCATATGAGGCTCTTGGGCTAACACCAAGAAGAAAATTTCTGTGTGCTTCATGATGGGTTTAGACAGATGAATTAATATGCAGATGTCAACAGAGAAAGAGATGAAAGCTAGAAAATCCCAAACGTCACCACACACACTTACTCACCCAATATGTTTTCATGCCTCATTAGCACTGTCTGATATATTTCTGTCTCTCGGAACCAGCTGGCTTCCTCCGTGGTGAAGAACACTTTCACCGCTACCTTTTCTCCACGCCACTTTCCCATCCAGACTTCTCCATAGCGGCCTTTTCCAATCTGCTTCACCATCTGAATCTGCTTCGCTATCGTTCTTTGGACCTGTTAAATTCCAAAACATTCTGTCAGTGTATTCACAGCACTATAGTATGTTTAATGCCCCTCAAGAGAAACAATTAATGCATATAAAATATATTTAGTCACTAATTTTCTTTATATAGACAAGTGGTTTATATTTATTAATTTATGCTGTTCTCTTTCAAATGCATTGGGAAGGGACTCTACTTTTTTTTTTTTTTTTTTTTTTAGTACAGGGTCTACAGGGTTTCACTATGTAAATCAGACTCGGAGTGATCTGCCTATGTTCATCCTCCCAAGTGCTGGGATTACAGGCGAGCGCTACCATGCCCAGACTTAATCACCGTCTCAGAACACCCCGGGGGCAAGGCCTGCATGGCATTCCAGGGATCAAACCCAGGCCGCTGCATCTGTCAGCCTAAGCAGGTGCTTTAATCCACTGAACTATGTGGCCGGCCCTCTTTCAAATGTATTTGGGACTGGGGATTCTGAATGTTCAAAATATTGTTTCCAAATTGGCATTTTTTTTTACCTATTATAAATTTGATAAAGGACAAATCTGAGCAGATATCCAGTACTTGGTAGAAGAGAGTACTCTCATTCTCACCACTACAATGAGTTATTAGATACTCTGAAAGATCTTTGCCACCATATAATTAATCATAAACACGATAAAAGAAACAAAATTATAATGCACTATTATGCACAGAAGGAGATAAAGAAACTCTTCAAACAGGAAAAGGAAAGAGAGGAAGAGAAAAAAGGGCAAGAGAAAGAAATTGAGGAGGAGACAGCCAAAGACTGAAGACTGGAGCACAAAACAGTCATCATAAAGTGTGTACAAAAGACAGGTTGTGACCAGGCAGAAAATACCATCTGATGATATGCAAAATCTAAGCTTTGACCCCTTTAAAACTAGAAGGACATAATCTAATGTTTTGGTATGAAGCTGGTCCTATCAAATAGTACTAAATTTGTGCTAGGTTTGTAGCATGTCATGCCTCTTTGTGAAAACAAATCACAAATCCCTTCCGGAGGAAATCTCTTAGAGTAGTATTTGATATAGTCTGTATTTAGATATCTTCCCAAAGTCTCATGTGGTCACAGGTAGGGCTTTTTATAGTGGTGACTGGATCTAAATATGTGACACTGGGATTGAATTATAGTGATTGAGGGCACTAGGATTAAGGATGTGTGTTATGGCTTGGCAGAAAGTTTGTCTCCATTTTGCCCATGCCCAAAGACTTTGCCTGAGACTGAGATTAAAGGTGGTGAACTAAATCTATTAGAAGAAATCTGAAATCAGTCTAAGGTTTAGGTAGTAAAATGGCTATGGCTAAGGACTTTTAGTCAGATCTGTATTGTGAATCAAGAGCAAAGAGTCCAGCAGAATGATTTAAAATGTTGAGTGGGGCCAGCAAGGAAATGCCAGTAAAGCTGTGGATTGCAAAGACAGAGAAGATCTGGATTGCTGAGAAGGAACAAGAGGACAGAAAAGGTGGCCTCAGGCCATCACAAGCAGCAGGAGGACTCCATCCTTCACAACCTCAAAATTGCAAAGACTTTGCTTTGAGAAGAGAGCCCCAGAGTACCATGTTCCAGAATGGTGGCAGCTTAGAGAATTCAGTCCTGGAATTAGGTGCATAGGCACTGGACTCTTACAGGCAAGAGAGAGGGAAGTCTGGCTACTGCTCCAAATGACTGCAGACCTTAACATCCCCCGTTTGGCACTGGTTTTGGGTACATGTAGAATGCAAGAGTTGTGGGGTTAGGAAATGTCCACTCCAATTTCACAAGAGGCTTGGTGCATTGCAAGGGTCAAGGGCACTAGGATTAAGGATGCTTGTCCTACATGTCATAAGTAGCCTGGATAAGACATAAGCATAGAAAGGGCTGTGGTCATCCCTTGTTGCTTTGCTACCTTCTGCCCACTGTGGATTGTTTCTCCTCTGTGATGCCTGTCTACCATGCAACCTGCCTTGGAGCCAGTTGATAATGGATTAAAATCTCTAAAAACTGTGAGCTAAATGAATCTTTCCTCCTTCAACTTTGTACATTGGATATTTTGTCCTAGAAATGAGAAAAGTAAGTAAAAACCTTTTAATCCCAAAACAATGGTAGGATGAATAGTACACTAAAGGAGGTCTTGCCTCAAGAGCACTTGATCATCAGTGCAGAACAAAAACTGTGGTACAAGGTAGGATCACAAGGAAGAAAACAAGGGAGGGAAGAGTTAATGGGAGAAAAAGGAGGAAGAACATGAGAAGCATGCTTATGGAATAAACGTCAAAAAACAAAAGGGAACAGATACTATAAATGAGATTTAGAAAAGCCAAGCCACAGAGATTTAAGACCTTGAGACTATGTATTGTAATTAATACCTGCAGACTACAGACATGAAATGTCAAATAACTACATGAAATATTTCAAAACTAGAAGATGAAATGAAAAATAAGCAAGCAGAAAGATTACTGAAAATTGTACCTTTCGTGTGGAAGACTTGTCAGTCAAAAATATAAAACGGCAGATTAAAGAAAGTTATTAAAGAATATTAACAAGATGAAGAGAAAGTTACTTAGGCTAGAAAGCAGTTCTAAAATGCTGCAAAGAGCACAGTAAATACAGAGAAAGAGAAAATATGAGCAGTAAGTGACATCAAGGTTCACTGTCTATGCACATGTGATCTTCCTCCCATTTGCAATCACAATCACATTTCAAGAACGCTCATAGTAGTCATTGCTTAAATGAAAGGGCTGCTAAACACATGTTGTAATTCCCATAATTTAGAAGACAAACATAAAGAAACCTAGGCTAAAACTCTTCCAAAATCTGATCAGAGAACTGAAATGTACTCTTCTTAAGACATATGCTTTACATCAAATACACCTTTAGTTTTTCTTTTTGTTTTTGCACTTTTAAGAACCATATAACTATACTGGGCCAACTAAAACTAACCAGAACAATCTCATCTCATAGTCAATTCATCAGCAGCTTTAACCATCATATATATATATATATATATATATATATATATATATATATATATACCATACCACATTGCCTACCAAATAGGAGAGTTAGTTTCTTTCTTTCTTTCTTTCTTTCTTTCTTTCTTTCTTTCTTCTTTCTTTTTTTTCAAAATGGGTGATTTTTTTTTTCAGTTTAAAAGGTAGTACTACTTGCTGTCAGAATCATTCTTGGAACTAAAAATCAGACAGAAAGTGTTTTGGAAAAGGACAAGCATCCCCAAAAAATTTTGAAGGAGGACTGGGGATATAGCTCAGTGGTAGAACATCATGGGTTTAATCCCCAGTTCCACTAAAAAAAACCAAAATGAAATGAAGAACATGCTGGGAACCATGCAGACCAGTGGAAAGAGCAGGTGAGCCTTGGCAGGGAGCAGCCTTCCTCCCTGCCCTGCCTTGCGCCGCCCTGGGAGCTTAGCTTCCGCACGCCCTGCCCTCACACGGGCAGGAGCATCAGGCTCGCTGAGCAGCTGGTAGTCAAGTAGAGAGCAGCTAAATTACTCACTTGAGAGGAAACTTCCTACACTTGCTGAAGAAAAGCTGTGTTCCACATACAGATGTTACAAAGCACTGCTCCTCTCCATCTATGGAACATTTCCTAGCATAAACAGCTTGCATCTGCTTCTTTTCTAATGATAATGTCTCTTATTCAGTGGAAGTCAGACAGAACTGGCAATGCTTGGAAGCACCGAAACTTAGCTCTAAGACTAAAAAGTACTATCAATTATAGTCAGAAATCTAAAGGACACTTTTACTTTGAGATAGCATTAAAGGATCTAAAAATATGACTTCAAAAACTGAAAACCTAATTTGAATTTTTATTTGATTAGCAAATGTTTCTGGTCTTTCTGTATCTAAATTTTCATTCTACATTACATATGTAGGAACAATTTTGGAAAATATGATTGTAAAATTGTCCTGCAACATTTGGATCTTAAAGTAGCTCTCCAAACCGGTTGTTTAGGGGTGTCCATAGTGCTCTCCACCAGGAGGGGGTTAAACTGTTGAAACATAGAGCCCTGGGGGCTCTTTCGGTCATGGGGGCCACACGGTCATGGTGACTATGGAACTCTGGTCTCTTCTGCTTCCTGGTCACAAGCTGAGCACTTCTAGGCCTCTGAGCTCCCAGCAAGATGTGCTGCTGTCACAGCCCAAATAACCATGCTGACCAATTATAGACTAAAACCTTTTAAAGTGGTGAGTCAAAATATAACTTTCCTCTTCAAAGTCAATTATCTCAGTGTCTGTCACACTGACAGAAAGCTAATGCTTCTGTACTCTACAATCACTGCAACTTTAGTTCCCGAAAAAACAATTACTTCGTGTGCACTGGGTCCATGTGAATGTTAGAGGACTCAGAAGGTGTTATTGCTATTGTAGGGTTGTCATCTTACTTAGTAACAGATAAGCACCAGGTACTATCCAATGCCCAAGTCCATGCACACACTGCTACGTGGATGGGACATAGCATGTGGCCACAGCAGTGGTTGGCACTCTCACCGAAGATCTGAATTAGCAGCACACACACATGCACGCACTGACACCCTGACATACAGCTCTTTGGAGAAATATATGGCTGAAAAGATTTAGATACATATCAGAAAAATTTTTGCCAGAATCCTCACTTACATTTGATGTTCTGCGATTTTTTGTTTTGGGTATTTTACAAGGTCAAATAGGGTATGTATTACAGTAATACATGCTATTTCTTATATAATATTCATTAAATAACCTGTGATTATTTCTATATTTCATATATAAACACTTAATGTAACACACAGAGAACAGAAAGACATTATCTTAAGAATAATTCTGATACTCTTTTTTGATAAAGAAATGGACATCTCATGAAAAAAAGCAAAGGTCCAAAATTAAGCATACACATAAAATCATTTGATAAATACTAAATGTCCCAGATATGTGGTTATATGTAAAGCGTTATGCTGATGAAATAAATAACGAATCAGTGTTATAGTGAGGTAGTCACTCATATAGTAT